ATCTACCTCAGATTCCTTTTGATATATTTAGCATTCAATAAAAGTTACATTGAAAGGCAAAATAACAGTCTGGTGAAATGTAGCGAGCATCAGAGCCAGATTCAGAATTGGTAAAGATTTTAGAATTACCAGACTTGAAGTTTAAAATGCTTGTGATTAATAGGCTAAGGACTCTAAGGGAAAACATAAACAATATGTAAGAACAGATGACTAATAAGCAGAGCGATGACAATGCTAAAAAAGAATCAAAAGGAAATAGAAATAAAAACACCCTAATGAAATTGAATAATGCTTTGATGGGCTCATCAATAGATTAGGTATAGCTAGGAAAGAATTGGTGAACTCAAAGACATGTCAATATGAACTCCCAAATGTTAAATGCAAAGAGATCAAAGATTGTTTTTAAGATGGAACAGAATATTGAAAGACTGTGAGATAACTTACAAAGGGGTAACATACACATAACGGGAAAACAAAAAAAGAAGGAAGCAGGAACAAGAGAAATATTTGAAGCAATAATAGCTGAAAATTTTTCAAAATTAATAACAGGCACCAAACTACAAATCAGGAAACTAAAAGAACACTTAGGATAAATACCAGAGACTATACATCTAGGTATATAGAATTCAAACTACAGAGAATTAAAAATTAAGAGAAAACCTTGGAAGATGGTCAGTTATGGGGGCACTATCTAGAGAAAAGGAGTAAGAATTACATAAAACTTATCTTCAGAAATTATGCAAGAAAAAGACAGTGGAATGAAATATTTAATGTCGAAAGAAAAAATCCACTAACCTAAAATTCTGCATCCAGTGAACAATTCTATGCCTACAAATTTGATAACATAGATGAAACGGACCAATTTCTTAGAAGACACAAACTTCCAAAACTCTCACAAGGAAGAAATAGACTATCTGAGTAGGCCTGTATCTAATAAATAGTAATTAACAACCTCCCTTTAAAAGCTCAAAGCCCATTCACTGGTGAAGTCTACCAAACATTTAAGATAGAAATTCTCTACAATATTTTCAGTAAAATAAGATGGAAATATTGAATATCTTCTAGCTCATATTATAAGCCAGCAGTGAGTGAAGACTAAAACCAGACATAAACATTATAAGATAGGAAAACTGTAGACCAATATTTTTCATTAATATGAATTTAAAAGTTCCTCAACAAAATATTAGCAAATAAAATTCAACAATATATAAAATGAATTATACATATTACCAGGTAGGATTTATCCCAGGTATGTCAGGCTGTTTCAACAACGAAAAAAAAATTAATGTAATCCATCTCGTCAACCCTAAAAAAGAAAATCATATGATCATATCAAAAGATGCAGAAAATTCATTAGACAAAATCTAACATCTTCTTACAACTGTCAGCAAATAAGAAATAGAGGGAACCTCCTCAACTTGATAAATAACATCTACAGAAAACCAACAGTTAACATCAAACTTAATGATGAGAAATTAAATGCCTTTCCCTGATATAGAGCAAAAGGGAAGGCCATACCTCTCACCACATGCATATTCAACATCATACTAAAAGTTCTAGCTAATGGAATGAAATATAAAAAGAAAATAAAAAGCAAAGAAATTAAGAAAGAAGAAACAAAACTATCCTTTTTTTTTTTTTCTTTTTTGGCATATGATATGATTGTCTATGTAGAAAAACCCAAAGAATTGACAAGAACAAGACAACCTCCTGGAACTAATAAGTGATTATTTTCAAGATTGAAGCATCTAAGATTGTCATTAAAAAGCCACTTGCATTCCTATAAGCCAACAATGAACAATTGGAATTTGAAATTAAAAACCTACCATTTACATCAACACCAAAATAATGAAATACTTAGGTATAAATCTAACAAAATAATACAAAATCTATAGAAGAAAAACTATAAAACTCTGAAGAAACAACTAAATAAATGGAGAGATATCCCATGTTAAAGGATAAGAATATTTAACATACTTAGATGTTTGTAGGTTCCAAATTGATCAACAGACTTAACATGATCACAATTAAATTCTCAGCAAGTTATACATCTACACCAACAAACTGATTATAAAGTTTACATGGAAATACAAAGATCAGGAATAGCCATTTTAATACTGACAAGAACAAACTCAGAGGACTGAGACTACCTGGCTTCAAGAATTATTGTAAAGCTACAGTGATCAAGATATTGTGGTACCAGTGAAATAATTAACAAGTTGATCAAAGCAACAAAATGGAAAGCCCAGAAGTAGGCCCACACAAGCATCTGATCTTTGAAAAGGAACAAAGACAATAAAATAGAGCAATGATAGCCTTTCAACTAATGATGCTGGAACAACTGAATATCCACAATTAAAAAAAAAGGAAGGTGTGTAGCAGCAGATCTTATACCTCTCACAAAAATTAACTTAAAATGGATCACAGGTTTAAATATAAAACACAAAGCTACAAACTTCTAGACAATACATAGGAGAAAATCTATATATCCTTGGATTTGGCAATGAGTTTTTAGGTAACACCAAAAGATTTTCCATGAAAGAACAAATTGAACATTTTGACTGTTAAAATTAAAATTTTCTGCTCTGTGAAAGACTATCAAAAGAATGAAAAAAAAAATCACCAAAAGATTCAGAGAAAATAGTTGCAAAAGATATATCTGATAAAGAAACAGTTTAGCCAAAGCATACAAAGAACTATTAAAATGCAACAATAAGATAATAAGAAATGCAATAAAAATGAGTGAGTTAGATAATTTGCCAAAGAAGACATATTTATGGCAAAGAAAGCATATAAGAAGTCTGGCAGCCTATATCAAACAAGAATTGAAAATTATGAGATTTACAAAGAGATGCCACTACACACCTACTAAAAGGACCAAAATCCAAATCACTGACAATATCAAATGCTGGTGAGGACAGACTCTTTTTCATTGCTGGTGAGAATGCAAAATGATACAGTCACTTTGGAAGACAGTTTGGCAGTTTTTTATGAAGCTGAATGTGGTTATCACTATACTATCCGGCAATTGTGCTCCTTGATATTTACCCAACTGGTATGAAAACTTATCTGCACACAAATGGTATAGCAGTTTTATTCATAATTGCAGACACTTGGAAATAACCAAGGTATACTTCAATAGCTAAGTGGATAAACTTGGTATATACATAGAATAATATTTGGAGAGAAAGAAATAAGCTATCAAATCATGAAAAAACATGGAGAGAGATTAAATACGTAGTGCTAAATTAAGGAAGACAGTTTGAAAAGTTACATACTGTGTGATTCCAACTATACAACATTTTGGAAAAGGCAAAAATATGGAGACAGTAAAAAGATGGGTTGTTGGCAGGATTTCAGGAAGGGAGATGAATAGCTACAGCCTAGGGTATTTTTATGGCAGTGGAATTATTTTGTATGATACTAGAATGGTGGATACTACATTATTGTATTGGTAGAAGTCACACCAAGTGACATTATGCATTTGGAAAAACCCATAGAACCATACAACAGAAAGAGTGAAAGGTCATGTAAACTGCAGACTTAATTAATTAATTGTTCAAAATGTAGTATGCTAATGCAAGTTGTTAATAAAAGGGAAAATTGCATGTGGCTTGATGAGACAGGGTATGTAGGAACTCTGTTCAGTTTTTGTCTATACCTAAAACTACTCTAAAATCTTTCAATTAAATAAAATCAATGTTTTTGTACTCAGATGTCCCAATTTGTAAAAAAGACAGATGTGTGCACACAAATTTCATGGAAGTTTTCTGCATAGAAATGCAAGGTTAGGCTGGGTGCAGTGGCTCACACTTATAATCCCAGCACATTTGGAGGCCGAGGTGAAAGGATTGCTTGAGCCTATGGGTTCGAGACCAGCCTGGACAACTTGGCAATACCTAATCTCTACATTAAAAAGAAAAATTAGCCAGGTATGGTGATGTGTGCCAAGTTTCTGCTACTTGGAAGGCTGAGGGGGGGTGATCGCCTGAGCCCAGCAGGTTGAGGTTGCAGTAGCTGGGAGTGTGCCACTGGTCTCCATCCTCGACAAGAGAGTGAGACTCCATCTGAAAAAAGAAAAGAAAAGAAAAGAAAAGAAATGCAAGGTTGATATACTAATCACTTTCTTATTTGGGGTTTGTATGTGTTTTCATGCATTACTCATGTAATTTTGAACATCTAGCTTCCTCCCTTTCCACTTCAGATAAACCCTACTGGAGATAGACATTACTCTTTTATATTTTCTAGTATTTATTCTATTTCACAGCCATGGTAATAAGAGACATTTGTACATACATATATTTATCTTGGCTGCTTTGTGGTTAAAAGGCATTTATGGGAGGCATAGTAGAATCTCCTCACTGCTCCTCTTCCACGTTGCCCTACACATCATTTACTGTAGATGAAAAATATCAGAATAATGGAAAATAGTAAAATGAGCATCATTTGAACATATCACACATATTTAATCATTCTTCACTTTTTTTAAACCATACTTACTTTCTCTAATAGTTTTTCTTATTTTACAAATATCACTTTAACTACAAATATGTAAGTGTAAATGCTTCAGTGTGTATCTTTTGCCTATAAGAGCAATTTCCTACCTCTCCCAAAAACACACAAAGAAAATAATGATTTTGCTTAACATTTCTAACGTCCAGTCCCTAATTCATGTTTCTGCGGCTGTTAGTGTCTGTTGCAGCTTTTCGCTCCAACCATGCACTGCAGGGGGCCGTGATGCACACACCTCTGAGGATCTGAGCAACACCTGGGTAGCCAGGACCCGACCCAAGGCTGAAATGGGAAAACACGACCTCCCTGAATGCAAGGGGTGAGGGGAATGTTAGTTCCCGACGTCGGTGGCCTGCCGCGCAGCACTCTGGGAAGGGGTCCCCGGCGCCCACCCTGCGCAAGCGCAGGCCCAGCCCCGCCCCCGGCGTCCGCCCTCTTGGCCCAAAAGGCGGGCGTCCGCCTTCCTAGGTCTGCGCCGGAGAGGAGGCCGAGCACCTGGGGTGAGAGCGCCGGCGTTGGGGCTCCGCCGGGCTGCGGGGCTTCCGGACGTGCGCTCCTGCGTCCCGGGTGCGGGTGCCGATCGCCACGTGGAGCCTCGGACGGGGGCTCCCCACCCCACCCCCGCTATCCCCTGAGCACGCGCGCCGAGCCGAGCGGGGGTGGGAGGAGGGCGAGCGGGGGGTCAGTGGGGTCGGGCCGGGGCGTGCGGTGGTGAAGGGGGCGTGTGGGGGAGGCGTGCGAGGGTGGGGGGAGGGTGGGGGGAGGGCGGACCTGGGCGTGCAGAGGTCGGGGGGCGTGCGGGGCGTGGGCGGTGGACCCGAGGGGGCGGCCATCGTTCGTGCTGTGGTTCTGAGAAGCGAATCCCTCGTCCTTGGTCAGACTGGTCGTCTTGCGCCCGCGACCGTCGCTGTATGTCATGGAAGCGGCTGTTCTCATAAGGAGACACCTGTCTGTCCTTGTCCTTGACGGTTCATTGAACTCTCGCAGCGACCCTGCTGGTCGTTATACACGTGCCATTTTATTTTTATTTTTTAGTGCAGGGGATTTCATGAGGGTGGACACCCCAGGACACAAGCTAGGAGGTGAGAGGGTAGAAGGCTCATCGAGGTCGGCTTGACTCCCTGTCTCTTGCTCTTCCTGATAGCAGACCTCCCTGAAACCCGGAGCTGCCAGTACCTGCTTGAAACCTTGGGAGCACTTATTCAGAGGGATCAGTGCTCAGATCTCCCTACGTGACTGTGAAGTGAACGTGTACAGAATCTCACCAAATGGTAACTCTATCTTGAGATTTGTGCAGTCTCCAGTTCCATGGTTGGGACTGAGGCTCCTGGACCCTCCAGCACGGTTGAGCCTGTCTCTCACCTCAAGGGCACAGATTCCTATTCGGGGGAAGTGATGTCCTGTAGAAAGTCGATGAAAAACACAGCCTCATTTAGAATTTTTCAGCAGCTACAGTAAAAAGAGGCAGGCAGAGCGAATTTTGCTGATGTGTTTACCTTGAGTCATTACATTCAAAATGCTACCTTGACTCATGGCTCTGGCCACACTTAAGGTGTTGAGTGATTGCATGCAGCTAATGGCTACAGTATTGGATAGCATGTTTCTGGTGAATTCCAAGAGTCAGGCTTAGGGTGCCAGGTGAAAGTTTCAGGTGAAGTGAATTTGTTTTTCAGGCCCAAGTCCCAGCCCTTCTGAAAGAAAGTAACTGTGACAACAGGCTGGAAAGAGGGAGTCCATGCCAGATCCTGCCACTGAGAATGGCCCATTTGACAGAGACCTGTTCCAGAGCTTCAGGGCAGAGGCAGAGGATTCTAGAAAGGCACAGGTTCTGATTTGCTTCACCTGAGGCAGTGCTTGGTTCCCTGAGTAGCATGAGTAAGACTTATAATGTTACCACATTCAGGAGCTGTTACAGACTGTGTCACCAGGGATAATGTGCACTAACTTGCAGAAGCTGGTGACCTGGGGTTGAGAGGGTTGAGTGTCAAGCTGAGGAGAAAAAGGTACTTTACAAAAGTGCTGGTGAGGTCATGGTGTCCAGAGAAGGTGTAGTCAGCTGACAAAATCCTAAACAACACCCCATTTTCTTCATTTTCCCATTACTTTTTCTGTACTTTGAGTAGCTGTCATACTACGTTCATTACTACATGTGGCATTTAGAGTTTATACTGACACTCCTTTCTTGAACATAGATAATAACAAAATGATACCAGAGGGAGGGAGTTTTCTATGCTGGAAACCCCAAAATATGAGGGGTACCCCCCCAAAAAAATCAGTTATCATTTGGAGGGCAGACCCCTTGTAGTACAGGCTTTTCCCACTACGTAAGTGTTCTGGGAACCAACTAGCATCAATGTACCAGCTAGCACTGTTGTAAGAGACTATGTTTGGCTTCAGTTATTATAATTTTTTTTTTTTTGGAGACTCAACACATTTGCCCATTTCATTATGGTGGCTTATGAGTGCAGTTGCCCACAGCGCCCTGAGTATTCATCAGTTGTTGACAAAAAATGTCATGACCTCCATACCCCACCCTCCCTATTCACCTGATCTCACCCAGAGTGACTTTTTTCTGTTTCTCTGGGAAAAAGTCTTCAAAGGGAAACATCTTGTGGGTGTGGAAGACATGAAACAAAAAATAGCAGAAGCACTAAAAGGCACCAAAATTGACTAGTCTAGAAAATGTTTTGAGCAGTGGAAAAAGTGTCTCGATAGGTTTCTTGCATCAAACGAAGAGTGCTTTCAGGGTGACTGAAGTTTGAACATGTAAGAATAAGTACTCAATTTTTTTAATAAATAAATTCTGGGGCTTTTTAGGTTCCTCCTCTTAAGGGGCCTGAAATTAATGACTTGTGTATAGTCTCCCAGGTCAGACCCAGGAACTAAGCATGGTGCTGTTCACACACAGGTGAGTGTCAAAAGCATCTTATCAAAAGGTCTTTTTAAAGAATCAGTAACGATTATTGAGCAAAACATTGAAAAGTATATTCCTTGTATACAACATTTCATCTTTATTTTAGAGTTTTCTGTGGAAGCTCTAACTCAGGGTGTAAAGACAGTAAGAATTTGCTTACTAATCCCTCCTGAGTTGTTTTTTTGTGGGGATATTAGGTTGAATGAGGATAGAGGGTTTCACCTCTGTGTACCTGAACATATTAAGTTAATCTTCTGTTGTATTATTTTTACAATTTCGTCAGGTAGTCACAAGGAACATAAATTGTTACTAAATTAACAAAATACAGTTTTTACCACACCTAGTGAAAAATACAGGGTTAAGTGGACTCAATATCAGAGATGAATGCGTTCAAGTGCTGCTACTTTTGTGTGGTCCTTCTGTCCCTTTCAAGAGTCAAACTGACATTCTCCATTGGGAAATCTTTTCTCCAGTTGGGTGTGAAGAGAATTTTAGGCTTGTGAAAGCAGTCACATCTCGATCATGATGGGATTACGTCCCAGGAAAACCATTGTAATTATCATAATTGGGAACTCCTCTAAAGGAACTATAAGGCAGACCAAGTCTCTCATGACCCCCTGTTCTTTCCTCCTCTCCAGGTGAACCTTCACAGGCCTCTACTCTCTTCAAGGAGCAGCAGAAAATGAACATGGCTCAGGTGAGTTTGGTTCTTAATAATCAGTTTATTTTACAAACTTTTATAAGGGCTTTTTAAGGATTTTGTAAGGGTTTATGTATCTGTATTTTAATATGAAAAAGTAGAGACAGAAATGGGTCAGACCCATTCATACAAGATACAGAAATACAGAAGACTAGCAGAGGAAACTTGGCATGTGGACAGATAGACTCAGGTCCTCTGCTGGTACACATTTACCAAATTGAGCTCCACATGTATTTCTGAGGTATTTCATTACCTTGGCAGAGGATCAGATATTACGTAATGGTTTACATTGATGAGAAAGATAAAGCAAACATTCCTCATGAAATATAAAGATGAAGATAACCTGATGTAATTGTTGTTCTACAAGTAGGTGATTTAGTAATAACTCATTACATAGCATAAAATGTTTTCTTTATTTTTTCCTCAATAGAAGTAGAAAATGTCATGTTGAGCACTAACTCACTCGTTATTCATTCACTTCTCAAGAATTCAAACACAGAGTTAAATTAGACATTTTTGTGATGAATCAACTGAATGTCTTTAAAAATCACACTCCATAAGTATTCTAAGTATCCATGATATTCAGGTTGTTTAGCAGATGATATAAAATTCTGTTCTTTTTCAGATGTCTCCCCATTTGGCATTCAACTTCAAATGTCTGTGTGACGCCTTGGTTGTTATTCTCACTTGCCTGTGGCTTTCAGTGACCCTACTGGATTGTAATCATATCCAGTGGACATTGTCTTATCCTTTCCGTACTTGACTTTTCTTCACCACTTGCCTCTGCTTCTCACTCTGTCCTGGAATGTTTCTCTGTGAGTGATACTTTCCACTGGCCTGTCCTCCCCTGCTGCCGTCTCCATGGACTCATCATCTCCTCTTGTCCTGCTGACTCTGAATAGGTCGTCCCATTGCCTTCTGTTCTTCATGGTTTCTCATTTGAAATCAACTTTGAATATGATAGGTTGCTTCTCCCTTGCTGCTTTCAAGATTATCTCTGTCTTTGGCTGTTTTAAAACTTTGATTAGAATGTATCCAGGTGTGGATTTCTTTCTCCAAGATTATCTTACTTGTAGTTGAGCTTTTGGAGTGTGTAGATTAATCATGTCCTTCAAATTTTTGAACCTCTTGGCCACTGTTACTTTAAAAATTGTGTTAGACCCTTTGTGTCTCCCTTCTCTGTCCTGTAGTCTCATTATGCATATGTTGGTAAGCTTGATGTTGTCCTATGGTTCATTTTTTTGTTATTACTTTTTTCTTTCTGTTTAACTGCACAGTCTCAATGAACGTGTTATCTTAGTTGCTTCACTCTTTTTTTCCACCTACTCATCTCTGCTATTGAATGGACTTTTTTGGTGAAATGTTCATTTTAGTTATTGTACTCTTTAATTTTAGTGTTTCTGTTTGGTCCCTTTTTATTATTTCTGCCTCTTTTGTCTTTATTTGGTGACATACTTCCCTTCAGTTCTTAGATATCATTTCCTTTAGGTCTTTAACCATATTTAAAATAACTGATTTAAAGTCATTGTCTAGTGAAGTCCAATATCTGCTTCCTCAGGAGCAATTTCTGTTGATTACTTTTTTCCTGCATATGGGTCTTACTTTTTTTTTTCTTCTTGTTTTGTAATTTTTTTTAAGTTGGAGTCTCACTTTTTGCCACCCAGACTGGAGTGCAGTGGCATGCTCATGGCCACTACAGCCTCGACCTGCTGGGCTCAAGCAGTCCTTCCACTTCAGCCTTCCAAGTAGCTGTAAATACAGATGCACACAACACACCAACCTAGTTTTTGTGATTTATTGTAGAGATGAGGCCTCGCCAAGTTGCCTAGGCTGGTCTCGAATCCCTGGACTCAGACAATTCTCTTGCCTCGGTCTCACAAAGTGCTGGGATTATAAGCTGAGCCACTGTGCCCAGTCTTGTTTTATAATTTTTGTTGTTGAAAACAGGACATTTTAATAAAATATGGCAACTCTAGAAGAATATCTCTCCTCCCAGGGGTTGTTGTTGAAATTTGTCCAGTGAGTTTTGTTTGTTTGTTTGTTTGTTTGTTTTTTTGAGTTGGAGTCTCATTCTGTCAGCCAGGCTGGAGTGAGGTGGCTTGTTCACTGCCACCGTAATCTCCATCTGCTGGGCTCAGGCCATCCTTCCACTGCCTCCTTCCAAGTAGCTGGCACTACAGGTACCTGCCACCATTCCTGGCTTATTTTTTGATTTATTGTGGAAACAAGGTCTTGCTGTGTTTCCTAGGTTGGTCTCAAACCCCTGGGCTCAGGAAATCCTCTTGCCTCCACCTCCCAAAATGCTGGGATTATAGGCATGAGCCACTGTGTCTGGCCTGTCCAGTGACTTTTTAAAACGAATTCAGTAGTGCCTGTATTTGTGTGTGTGGCAGCTGAAGTCTCTGCAGAAATTTCCTTAAATTCCTGAAACCAAGCAAGGGTCCCAGTCTTTTCCAGGGGGGCTTTGTGAGGGTTATGGCATTTCTCCAGCAGTAATCCTGGATATTTACAACTCTGTATTAGTCTTCATTTCCTGCTTTCTCCAAACCTTTAGGTCACTCAGAAATGACAGCTTAGAGCCTTCTCATATCCTTCCTGAGCATATCACAGTCCTGGGCTTATTCTCAGCTGTGCATATAGGTGGGCTTCTCAATTCTCAGGAATATATCAGAGTTTTTCAAAACCTTTATGGACATTTCATCCTCCAGCTTGTCCTTTAAATAAAGCTTTTTATTAGATGATTACTTACCCCAACTGTTTATCCACCACCCCAGGTAGCAGGTAAGTTAAAGTTGCCTTTGAATGTTTTAGACTAATGTCTTGAAGCACAGGTTTTTCAACCTGCATGAAAACTCTTGAGTTAGTTCAGTAATCAGCCTTGCAAGTGAGATCTTCAAGGGAACCATCCTATTAAGTCAAGTAAGGACAGTTTTCTGGGAGCAGGCCTTTGACAACTCGAACCCACTTCTGCCTCCTCCAGTGGTTGCCAGGCTGCCTCCTCCAGTGGTTGCCAGGCTGGTTTTTGCTCTTATCTCAGATGATTGGTTCTCAAAGCTAATGGGGAACTGGAGAGAGCTGGATGAAAATAGGAAAAGTTAAGATAATGTGGAACTATGGTTCTCCCTATGTTGGAGCCTTTTTTAAAACATTTTCAATGTTTTTTTTCAATTGAAGTTTCACTGTGTCATCCATGCTGGAGTGATATGGCTACTGCAACCTCAACCTGCTGGGCTCAGGCCATCCTTCCATCTTAGCCTTCCTAGTAGCTGAAACTATGCTGTGTGCCACCACGCCCAGCTAATTGTTTGGTTTATTGTGAGACGAGATTTTGCCAAGTTGCCCAGGCTGTTCTTGAACCCCTGGGCTCAGGCAGTCCTCTGGGATTACAGGCATAATGTATATTTTTTTTGTATAAATATTCTTGTATAGATTGCTTGAAGCCTTTGATTATCTTGCAGAAAAAGTTGATTCTGTAATTGCTGCCAGTTTCTCATTACTTTTATGGAAGAGAGAATTTTCTCAACTTCAGTATTTTTGCTGATATCCCTTGTTAGCTTGAATTTGAAGTCTTTTGGTATAGAAACTGTCTCTTTTCTTAGTTTCTAAGACTTTATTTTCTGAATTCTGTTACTATTTTTCAGAAAACTTCTTCTCTGACTTCTTTCCTGCACATCTTCTGCCAGCCTCTTTAATATATGTGGTCCTCAAATGTTTTTGTTTTGGTACTTTCTCCTTAATCCCAATGTGCTCAAGGAGCTGTCTGATTGTCTCTAATAACTTCAGTTACCAGCTAGGGTGCTAATGACTCCTAAGTGTTTGTCTCCATCCTAGACTTGCCTTCTGTGCTCTGAAATCGTGTATGTTGGTTTAAAGGGCAGTTCCAGCTTTATGTCTCACACACCCCTTTGTAGCAACCAGAACAGATCTCTCACTCAAACGTCTCACACGTTTTTCCTTTTGTTTCTCAATTGTCAGTTTTTGACACCATCAAGAAGCTGATTATTTTGAAACATACATTATATTATTATTAACTAGAGTCACCATACTGTGCAGTATCTTGAAAACTTGTTCCTCTTGTCTGATGGAAACTTTGTATCCTTTGACCAACATCTCTAGTTCCTCTCTCCCTCTCCCCCAGATTCGGGTAACTGTCATTCTATTCTTTCTTTACTTCTATGCATTTTACTGTCTTAGATTCCATGTATAAGTGAGATCTAATTTGAAAGATTTGTCTTTCTGTCAATTAAAAACAAAATAAAACAAAAAACAGAGAGAGAGGCTTCTCACACAGCTAGACTATGTTGCTACCACAAGCATTAATCATCAGATGGTTACTTCTGCTCTGTGATTATATCCTATTCTTATGTCAATTGCTGTTACTTCAGTGTACATAGTGTTTTCTTACTATGGTCTCATTGGTTCCAACTTCTTTGTAAGCTGTTCCTTGTTCTTCATGAGCTCTAGATTTCTCTGTTTTCATATATTTACTTATACATAAGTTTGGTCAGGTATCTCTCTAGCCTCACTGTCTTTCTTCCTTGGCTGCCAGTGTTTACAGGGATGGAGTTCAAGGAGGGTGTGAACTTCCTAGAGAATACAATCATCCCGGGAATGTGCAAGAAGAGTTGTAGAAGGTTTAATTACATTGAATTTTTCTGTCTTAAAAACATCTGGAATTCATCAGTGTATACAGATGCAGTATGGTAAATTAGAAACCTTTTAAAATAGCTGAGTGGCAAGTTTTAAGATGAAGTTTGGTCCAAAATAAGCCTCTATAACCAACTGTTTTTGAGCCTCAAGAGTAAACAGGAAAAGTTGTCAGGTATTTTCTGTGTCTCCTAATTCTGAGAGCTTGAACAAAATATGTTGCTGAAGGGATCCGTGTCATTCGAGGACGTGACCATGGAGCTCACCCGAGAGGAGTGGCAGCAGATGGGCCCCGCAGAGCGGAACCTGTACAGGGATGTGACGCTGGAGAACTACGGCCACCTTGTTGCAGTAGGTGAGCAGACCTGCCACGGGACTCCTTCTGCAGCATGTTTGCTTTTTTTTAAAATTATCAAGACACATAGATTCTTTATAGAGATTAAAGGCATCATAGATTTTGGACTAAAAGGACTAATGTAATGAAGCCTTTACAGAAACAAAAACTGTTTTTGTCATTATCTTCCCTTCGAAAACATCAGATGAATATTCTCAGTTAATGCTTTTATAGCTATGTCTTTTTCCATCCAAGTGCTCATGGATCTGGTCCATTTATACCCTCAATTATTTCATTACAGGGTGTTGCATTACCAAACCCAAGGTAATCCTCAAGTTGGAGCAAGGAGAAGAACCATGGTCCCTAGAAGTCAAATTCCTAAACGGGAAGTACCCAGGTGAATGAGTGTTGACAGAAGGAACCTTGGGGTAGTTAGATCTTAGTGGAAGAGCACCTTAAAAAGTTTTGTTTTTTTTTTTTGGGTAACAGTTTTATTGAGATACATTTCACATCTCATACAATTCATTCAAAGTCTATAGTTCAGTGGCTTTTAATGTGTTTATAGATACAGTCAGCCCTCTGTATCCATGGGTTCTGCATCCATGGATTCCAGCAATTATAGATTGAAACTATTTGAACAAATGCATCTCTACTGAAAATGAACAGACTATTTTGTCATTATTCCCTAAACAATATAGTATACAACTGTCTACTGTCTCTGTTTTATGAGGCTAGTATAAGTAATATGGTGATGATTTAAAATATACCAGAGGATGTGCATAGGTTACATGTAAATACTTTGCCATTTTATATCAAGGAGTTGGGCATCCATAGATTTTGGTATTCAAAGGAGTCGTAGATCCCATCCTCCAAGGGAGGACTCTATGTACAAACATCATCACCTCAAAAAGAAATCTGTACCCTTTAGTTGTCACACTTCTATACCCCTGACTCCTCCAACTCTAAGTAGACATTAATCTACTTGTGTCTCTGCAGATCTGCCTATTCTGGACATTTTGTATAAATGGAGTCATATAGTATGTGGACATTTGTGATTGGCTTCTTTTGCTTAACTTAATGTTTAAAAGGTTTATGTTATAGCATATGTCAGTGTTTCATCCTTTTTATGGCCAGATCCTGTTTCATTGTTTGGATATACTGCCTGTGTTTCCATTCATCAGTCAGTAGATTCTTGGACCACCGCCTTTTGGCTATTGTGGATTAAACAACAGAAATTCTCTCAGTTCTGGAGGCTGAAAGTCCAAGATCAGGATGCCAGTAAGTTGGTTTCTGGTGAGGCCTCTCTTTCCTGGCTTGCAGAAAGCCACCTTTCTTGGTGTGTTCTCACTTGACCTTTCCTCTGTGCATAGCCACTGGGGGAGAGAGAGAGCACTCTGGTGTTTTTTCCCTTTCTTGTAAGGACACCAGTGCTACTGGATTAAGGCTTCATCCTTATGGCCTCCTTTTAACCTGGATTACCTCCTAAAGGCCTTGTCTCCAAATACAGTATTACTGGAGGTTAGTTATTCAACATATGAATTTGGGGATGGGACACAGTCCATAACAGTTTCTTTGTCACTAATGATGTCAAACATCTTTTCATATGCATCTTAGCCTTTGTCTATACTAATAAATGATTCCAGAAATTTGAAAAAATGATAGTTTTCAATATAATTCCTAGACAAAAAAGTAAAATCATCTTAATTATTAGAAGTGATGTACACTTATTGAAAGTTTTTGTTGTGAAGCCATATAAACAAATGGCATTACATAAAGATTGACATAATTTAGATCAAGCAATCTCCTAGTCACTATATGAAAATGATTTGAACATATTGACTGGCTAAATAAGCTATCTCTAAATACAAAACTTAGAAAAATTATTATAAAAGAATGGTAAAGTTGTTAGTCAATAAAAGTAAAATAATTTAGATTTCATGTTCTGTTATCATTCAGGTTTGAATTCAGATACTAAGTACATTAAAGTCTAGCCTGAGAGCACAGGTAAAAGAAAATATTTAAGGTTTTGAATTACTGAACCAAATAATATGATATCACTCTTCTAAAATAAAGGAATAAAGTTCTAAGAATCCAAAAAATTCCCTCTGGTTACAGTCCATATTCTCCTACCACTTCTTTCTAGAGTGTTCAAATACAGTTATTTGCTTTTCTGGTTAAAAAAAAGGTAGATTAAAGTGCCCTCACAAGAAGATACCACAGCTAGCTAGCTTACTTTCCATCATGTGAGGGTATTACAAGAATAGTCTATAACCCAAAGAGGTTACTCACAAGAATAAAGCTGTGTTGGCACCCTATTCTGAGACTTCCAACCTCTAGAACTGAGGAAAATAAATATTTGTTATTTACACCTCCTTAGTTTGTTATAGTCACCCATGTTGTTTTATTATCTGTTGAATGTCTGTTGTGTCAGTAATTTCCCCTCTTGCATTTCTGATATTGATAATTTGTGACTTTTTTTTCCTGCTTATCTTTGAAAAAGAATCTTTTTAAATAACTAAGCTTTGGTTTGATTTTCTGTGCTGTTTTCTTTTTTCAGTTTTATTTTCTAATATTTACTGTTTTTCTTCCATTACTTTCTTTAGATTTAATTGTCTCTCTTTGTCTAGTTTGTTTAGGTAGGAACTTAAGTATCCGCAGATCTTTCTTTTCAAATATAAAAATTTTAAACCACATATTTATGTCTGAGCACTGCTTTAGTTGCATTCAGAAATTTCTGTATTTTTGTGTTGTTTTCATACACTTCAAAATATCTTATTTGAACCTTCTTCTTTCACCCATGGGTAAATTAGAAGAATACCATTTATAAATATTTTGTATTTCTCCAAGTAAAAAAGTGTTTATTAATTTCTAGTATAATTTCTCTGTAGCTCAAGAACATCTTTTGTATGATTTCTGTTCTGTATTTGTGAAGATTTGTCTAACAGCCAAGAATGCATTCTATTTTGATGAATGTTCCATGTGCATTTGAGAAAATGTGAGTTTAGCTGTTGTTGAAATTACTGTGTCCTCAAGTTTGAAGGTGTGGTTATCACAAGTGCTACTTTATCTCTTCTCCCTATAGTTGGGCCTACCAGGTATTCCTACCTCTTCTCATGTTTCTGTGCTGCTTTTCTTCCTGTAGCTGCTATGAGTGCCTGCTAGTGCCCTAAAACAGCAGATTTGTTGTTCTTGCCCTTGCAGATGAATATATTTGTTCCATAAATTAGATAAGAATATTTTTTTTTTTTTGAGTTGGAGTCTCAGTCAGTCGTCCAGGTCACCCCAGTGTTGACCTACTAGGCCCCAGCAATCCTTCCACCTCAGCCTTCCAAGTAGCCGAAACTACAGGCGCTACCACTCCCAACTAATTTTTTATTGTAGAACAAGGTCTCGCCAAGTTGCCTGGTTTAATCTTAAACCTGCAGGCTCAGGCAATCCATTTGCCTCGGCCTCCCAAATTGCTGGGATTACAGGCTAATTTACCGAGCCTGGCCGATAAGAATATATTTCTAGACAGAATTTTGGCAGCAGCTCCTGTTACATCTGCCAGCATATCCCAAAAATGGAACTTTCTCAGGATCCTTTATGATCTTTCCTATGAGTTCCCCATTTGGCTTATAGAGGGAAATATTACAGGAGCACACAGAATGTCTGTATCCATTGCAGTGAAAGGTTAGCTTCTTGGTCAGCTTTCATGGAACCCCAGAAGTGTTCTGTTTTTGTTTTGCATGAGTATGTGGATGTTGTGAAACATATTTTTGGTTCTGTTAAACTACTTTTGGCTAGAGGAAACAGGCTTTTTTTTCTTGGAGCTCTTTTTGTTGCTGGCTCCAGGTTGTAGGTTTCTTCAGCACTCTGTCTAGGATATATGGGAAGCAGAAAGAAAAGCTTTGGAATTCTCTGCTGTGTCATTTCTTAAGTCCTGAGGTTCACATTTTTCTATTTTGTAGAGTCTTTGTATGTTTGTTCATCTTTTTTTCTAGCAAGGATTTTTAATTGTAAGAAGGAAGATCTGGGAGGAAAGGGCCTACTCCATCTTGGATGAAAATAATACCTATTTCTTTAAACATTATGGATCAGGAACAAGAAAAAGTATCTATCTGTGTACGTTTTTACTCTTTGGAAACATGACCAGAAACAATAGAATAAAATACATAACAAAACATGGGTAAAAGTCCCTCTCCATGAAAAGTGTAAGATTTATAATATGTTTTCAATTTTTTTCATTTTAGGATATTATAAAATTGATGACAACATCAAAGAGATCCAGGAAAAACAAAAGAAGCCTCTGTGTCAAGTAATATTCATTGATGACAATGATAAAACATTGAGTAAAGAAGAACAGATAATTTTAGAAAGACCATTAAATCTGGGCATAGCTCCAGGGTTTTCAGGAAAAATGCCCTGTCAATGTGACTTGTGTAGAAGGAATTTGCCAGTTGCTTCTGAGTTAATTATAAGTGAAAGAAACTATTCAAGAAAGAAGGTTGATTACATGAATGTGTCTGAGAAATTGCAGCTTGATTTCAAGCATGAGAAAACTCATCCTGGAGATAAATCTTATGAATATAATAAAAATATGAAAGCTCATAGTTATAAGAAAGATCAGTATCAGAAATTTCAAACTTTGGGGCAGTCTTTTGAATATAATGAATTTGGAAAAGTTTTATATGATAAGACTGTGTATATTAGGCCAGAGACTTTTGTAACAAGAGAGAAGTCCTGTAAGGATGATGAATTTAGGATAAACTGTGATAAAACCTTTTTACTTAACTACATGAGAACTGACACAAGGGAAAAATGTTCTGATCTTAATGAATGTGGGAAATCCTGTGACAAAGCCACCATTGTGGAGTATAATAAAGTTCACATCGCTATGACACACCATAAATTTAATGAAAGTGGGATTGATTTCAGTGAAAAGTTATCCTTCATTCAGTCTCAGAGAACTGTTTTAGAACAGAGTGCATTGGAAAGCAGTAAATGTGAAGAAAACTTTAGCCAGAGCTCAGCTCATATAGTATGTCAGAAAACACAAACTGGAAGAGATAAATTCTGTGAATATAATGGATGCACAAATACCTTCTACCAGAAATTAGACCTTACAATACATGAAAGAACTCATACAGAAGAGAAATTCTGCTGTTCTGGTGAATATGGGAGATGCAGGAAATTCTTTCACCAGAAAGGACACCTCATTTGGTATCAGAGGACCCACTCAGGGGAGAAACATCAATATGAAGAATGTGGGAAATCCTTTTGTACAAGTTCACACTCTATTCAGCATTCTGGAGCTTATGTGGGATTCAGACTTTATGAATGTAATGAATATGGGAAAACTTTCTGCCAGAAGTCAAACCTTAGTGAACATGTGAGAATTCACACAAAGGAGAAAACTTATGGTAACAATGACTGTGGGAAATCTTACAGGTCACCCCTTGTAGGACATCAGAGAACAGAAACAAAGATGAATCTCTGTGAAGGCAGTGAATGTGGGAAAACATTCTTCAAGATGGCATGTCTCAAAGAACAATGGAGAATTCCCATTGAGGAGAAACCTTATGAATGTATTGAATGTGGGAAAACTTTCTTCACATCATCACATCTCAGAGCACATCAGAGAATTCACACAGGTGATAAACCCTATGAATGTATTCAATGTGAGAAAACTTTCTGTCACAAGTCACACCTCAATGCACATCAGAGAATCCACACAGGAGAGAAACCCTATGAATGTACTGAATGTGGAAAATCTTTTACCTGTAATTCAGCCCTAAAAGCACATCAGAGAATTCACACAGGTAAGAAACTCTATGAATGTACTGACTGTGAGAAAACTTTTGCTCATATTTCAGCCCTCAGAGCACATCAGAGAATTCACACAGGGGATAAACCTTATGAATGTAAGGAATGTGGAAAGTCTTTTGCTCGTATATCTGTTCTCAGAGCACATGAAAGAATTCATACCAGTGAGAAACCCTATGGCTGTAATGAATGTGGGCAATCTTTTACCTACAATTCAGCTCTAAGAGCACATCAGAGAATTCACACAGGTAGGAAGCCCTATGAATGTAATGATTGTGAGAAAACTTTTACCCATAATTCAGCCCTCAGAGTACATCAGAGGATTCACACAGGGGAGAAACCTTATGAGTGTAATGAATGTGAGAAAACCTTTGCCCGTAACTCAGCGCTTAGAGCACATCAGAAAATTCACACGGGGGAGAAACTCTACGATTGTAATGAATGTGGGAAAACTTTTTCTCAAAAGACACACCTCAGTAAACATCATAGAATTCACACAGGTGAAAAACCCTGTGAATGTGGGAAAATTTTCTCTCAGAAATCATATCTCAGTGCACATGAAACAATTCACACAGGGGAAAAACCCTATGAATGTAACATATGCAGGAAAACTTTTGTCTATAAGGCTGCCCTGATAGTGCATCAAAGAATTCACACAGGGGAGAAGCCCTATGAATGTAACGAATGTGGGAAGACTTTCTCCCAAAAAACACACCTCTGTACATATCAGAGAGTTCACATAGGGGAGAAACCCTATGAATGTAATGAATGTGGGAAAGCTTTCTCCCAGAAGTCACACCTTAATGCACTCCAGAGGACTCACACAGGGGAGGAACCCTATGAATGTAATGAATATGGGAAAACTTACTCTGACAAGTCACACGTTAGTGCACATCAGAGAGTTCATACAGGGGAGAAACTCTATAAATGTAATATATGTGGGAAACCATTTGCCCTTAACTCATCCCTTAGAGTACATCAGAGAATTCACACAGGTGTGAAATCCTATGAATGTGATGAATGTGGGAAAACTTTCTCCCGGAAGTCACACTTTAGTGCACACCAGAGGACTCACACAGGGCAGAAACCCTATGAATGTAATGAATGTGGGAAAACTTTCTCTGAGAAGTCACATATTAGTGCACATCAGAGAGTCCACACAGGGGAGAAACCCTATGAATGTAAAGAATGTGTGAAAACTTTCTCCCAGAAGTCACACCTTAGGGCACACCAGAGGACTCACACAGGGGAGAAACCCTATGAATGTAATGAGTGTGGAAAAACTTTCTCCCAGAAGTCACACCTTAGTGTACACCAGAGGACTCACACAGGGGAGAAACCCTATGAATGTAATGAATGTGGGAAAACTTTCTCTAAGAAGTCAAACGTTAGTGCACACCAGAGGACTCACACAGGGGAGAAACCCTATGAATGTAATTTATGTGGGAAACCATTTGCCCTTAACTCATCCCTTAAGGTGCATCAGAGAATTCACACAGGTGTGAAATCCTTTGGATGTAATGAATGTGGGAAAACTTTCTCCCAGAAGTCACAGCTTAATGCACACCAGAGGACTCACACAGGGCAGAAACCCTATGAATGTAATGAATGTGGGAAAACTTTCTCCCAGAAGTCACACCTTAGTGCACACGTAAGAACTCACACAGGAGAGAAACCCTATAAATGTAATGAATGTGGGAAAACTTTCTCTGAGAAGTCATATCTTAGTGCACATCAGAGAATTCACACAGGACAGAAACCCTATGAATGTAATGAATGTGGGAAAACTTTCTCCCAGAAGTCACACCTTAATGCACATCAGAAGACTCACACAGGGGAGAAACCCTATGAATGTTATATATGTGGGAAACCATTTGCCCTTAACTCATCCCTTAGAGTGCATCAGAGAATTCACACAGGTGTGAAATCCTATGGATGTAATGAATGTGGGAAAACTTTCTCCCAGAAGTCACAGCTTAGTGCACACCAGAGGACTCACAGGGCAGAAACCCTATGAATGTAATGAATGTCAGAAAACTTTCTCCCAGAAGTCACACCTTAGTGCACACCGGAGGACTCACACAGGGGAGGAACCCTATGAGTGTAATGAATGTGGGAAAGGTTTTGCCCACTTTTCAACTCTCAGAGTACACCAGAGGATTCACACAGGTGAGAAACCCTATGAATGTGGTGAATGTAGGAACATCTTTGTTCATAAGGCAGCTCTTAGAGTACATCACATCAGAATGCATACCAGAGAGAAAACCCTAACATCATGAATTTGAGAAGTCCTGAATTAACTCATGCCTTATTTTATACCACACAGCAGAGAAACTCTTGTCATGTAGACTGGAAAATTATTTTCCTTAACATTTTCCTTTTCCACTAGGCTCATAGCTTGTTGAAAATCCTAATCTCAGTCAACCAGGTGGGCTGACCAAAGAATATGATGCTAATGATATATATTACATTTAGTACTGGCCCTTAAACTTCTTAGAGTCTTTCTAGTCCATGGTAAGATGGGATTGAGATGATTTCCACAGCAAGTTGGTTTTTGTGTAATGAATGTGGTGGAGCACAAGGTCAAAAGAAGCTAGAGTCTGAATAACTGTTTGGACTATAATTCTCTGCTTCCAGATCTTCATCAGTTGTTTGTGTTTCAAGCAAGAATTAAGTTTGTTTTCCAATGAGCCCTCAGATTTGACCTATTAAATGCATTGTTTTGCTGTCTCTGTACTAGACTGGGATGAAATTCTATTAACATAATACATTTCAGAACATCCATAAGAATTCAGTTTTACTGTATGTCAGAGACTTCACATGAAGAAGAAAATTGTCAACATCCTGAATGATCAGAAGCCTTCATTAAAGTCAGAGACATTTCTGGGAAAATCACAAAAGCCTTCACAACAAAATCAATTGCATTAAACATCAAATAATTAGAATAAAATTTTATATTTTGAATAAATGATTTTTACCAAATATTGAATGTTTGTTTTTAGAAATTTCATTCCTGAGAAAGTGTGTCAGTTTCAGAAACTTCTGTTTGTATGTAATATCAAAAATTTTATAGAAAAAATGTAAGAAAATACCTATAGACAAACTCACTGTAGAATATGAAGTTTTTTAAATGGAGGAATAGCTTAAATTCTGTAGATAGCACAAATAAATATTTATGAAAAGTCATTGAGTGATGTGAAAGTCTGTATGAGTCTGTAAACCGACTTAATACTGGTTAACTTGAGTGGGAGCCAAACCTGCTCTTGGCATGTCTCCTTTCTTTTCTGGGCAACTGTGCCCTCTGTTAGTTTCCTTCAACTTGCTGTTAGATTTTGGCCTGCCTGTTATGTCTGAATATGTCTTGCCCTGTTTTTGTAGGACCTTTGATATCCCTGAGATTTCCCAAGCATTCTTGTGTGTGTGTGTGTGTGTGTGTGTGCACTGAAGGTGGTGATAGTGGTATTGATTCTTGCATACTTTGGGGGGGAAGGGTATAGAGGACATTAAGTTTATCCTGCTCTAGTGATTCATTTTGCACTGAATGTTTATAAAACAAGTCATCTCCTCAAGCCCTTGAATGTGTCCAGCCTCAGCATCTTGCCTAGAATCTTGTTTTCCAGTATCATGATGCCTGCTCGCACTGTGCTTTCCATGTTAGTGGTGTTCCTGCCAAGTTAAGACAGCAGGTTTTGGAGTTGGAATGAAAAGGGCTACTTCATGACAAGAGCACAGCACTCGTACTGGAAAGCAGACTCACTTTTGGTAAAACAAAAATTAGTACAATCTTAGTCAAGAAAACACTTGGTGAAGCTGGCATCATTTTAGCCTACATGGTTTGCTCAGTATAGAGAAGAGAATAAAGTCACATTTAAAACCTGAATCACTAAAAATTTCAACCTTGAAATTGATATGATAGGGTCAGTATGAGGACTACAATTTAGTTGAATCCCTGAGAAAAATTTCTTGACTCCCTATCCCTAATATTGTATGAAGGGATAGTGTTAGGAAAAATTGTATCATTAACATTAATTGGAAATTAGGTATTTCTTTGACAATAAGTTGTTGCCAGTTAGTTTAGTGGCATCACTGCCAAAGACAAAAGCCAGAAGTAAGAGGCCATCGTTGCATGAGGGTTGTATCAAACCACCATGGCTGACACATCATAGACTGGATCGTTGCTCTTAGTCAAAAGGTGGCAGCAGCTATGGAATCTGTTTTCTCCTTTTCATCACTGACACCTTGATGCAACTTGATCTTATTGCTCAGTGTTGAAAGAGAAGTGAGAGCTGAAAAACAACTCTTTTGCATGCTTAATTTTCAGAAAAGTATCAACAAAAAGAAAGTTAACCTGGAATACTCTTAAAATTTTTATTTTCGAATGGATTTACAGAAAAGTTACAATAATAGTTTCTCTGTACTCCTCCCCTAGGGTCCCCATTAACATTACTGTGGAACCTTCTTCATAACTAACATTCATACATTTTTTTTTTCAAATTCCACGAATTTTTCCCTAATGTTCTTTTACGGTCCTCTTCTTCCTATTGGGCCTTAGAAAATGATACCCAAAGTGACCTTCTCCACCCTTCAGTTCCTCATCCTCACTTTCCCCCAAAACAAACCATAGAAACAAGGATACCTCTTCTCCAAGGTGGTCGTAAACACCAGGACCACTGTTCCCCAACACCAGTCATAAAAGCCTGGAAATGCTACTCTTAACTTTTCCATGCCTTTCTGTTTAAGAACTGACCATAAAGAAATTCTCTATCCTACCTCGTTTGATTGTAGGTCATAATAACTCCATTCCAGAGAAGATCCTGCCCTATACCTGGAAGGAAGAAACGCTACACAGGCCAAGAAAAGTCTGAACAGACAGGCATTGCCCTTCAGTCTACTGCTATTAGCCCATCCTCTTTTTGTAGTCATTTTTCTACCTAGTCATTCATGCTTTACACTAAAGTTCACTATACGTCTTTGAGTATTCAGTTGGAAGTCTCTCATGGCAAATAAAACTGATCAAACTTGCTGTTTTTCTCTCTTTAACCTATCTTTTGTTATGACTGTCTCTCATAAAGGAGGAAAGGCATCACACCCTTTACTCCCCTACAGTTTCATTCGGGATACCATATTGCATTTACCTGTCATGTCTTCTTAGCCTCCACTGGTGTGTGGCAATTTCTCTGACCTCCCATGTTTTTGATTACCTTAATAATTTGAGGAGTTCTTGTCAAGTATTTTGTAGAATATCTCTCAGTTGTTGTGATTCATCTAATACATTTTTTGAAAAATCGTCTAATGTCAATAAGTTCTTAGCAGGAAGATTATACAGCAGTAAATGTCATTCTCATCCTGTCAAGAGTATGGAGTATGTGCTGTTGTCAGCATGAATGGTCACTGATACTAACCTTGATTACCTAATTGAGATGGTATTTGCCAGAATTTTTTGACTAAAGTTACTTCTCTCTATTTATCATTTTATTCATATGACAAGTTGCTGTATATGCAATGGGAAGCTTATACAAGCTGTCTCCAGTTTAGAAATGGATTGTATGATATGACATTAATTGGCTGTTTGGAATTCTCTACTTTTTCCAGAAATGGTGTTGCAAACAGTGGCTAAGTGCACAAAAGCCTATTTTGCCCGTTATGTGCCTTATTGATAGTACTAGGTTGGTGATAACCCAGTATGTAAATGCTGGCTCCTTGGGGGAAATGCAACATTCTAGGTTAGAGCTTCTGGAAGATAAGTATGCATAACCATAGACAATGGAAGTTTCCCTAGCAGATCCCTTTTCATAGGCTACCAGGTACTGGAATTAGGAACTCCAACCACTTAAAGCCTCTGGTAATGGCAGTTTGGTCCAGTAAGAAACATCTAGAAACTGGTATTAAGAGCCAGATATAAGTGCCTAAAGAAGTTAAGAAACACCAGGGCTATTTCTTAGTTCCAGACTAGCTCCTTAATCTTTCCTCCCTCTTGTAAACTCCCAAAAGTAGCCACTCAACTTGCTCTTCGACCACTCTTGGCCCTACCTTTTGATGTGGAATTGCCCACTGGAAAAATCTTCTCCTGCGTTAGCTCTCAAAAGGGAATTGTGTAGCAAGCACCATTCCTGCTATGTGGTAAATATTTCTTTTATAAATGATTAGTCTATCCAACTGTCCCTAAAATAAGATTGTAATTTCTTTTATGTTTCTGATGTTAGCATTGGCAACAGTGTGAATGTGAATAGTTTAAAAATTATTACGCCCAGAATTTGGAAATAGCCTCAAGCTGATTCAGTTATATATGTTTGTGTGTGTGTGTGTGTATTTGGTGTTCACTGTATTAGGAATTAGTCGTTGTCCTTGTCTTTGCCCCCCAGGATTCCTTTTAGGTAGCTTTTATTTACCTGAGCATATCTCCATGAGAGTGGTGCATAATTCTATGCCTCTTAATTCCTGGAGTAGTGCTCTTTGGACTTTGAATAATAAAAGGACAGAAAGAAAGTTTGTCTGTATTTCATGAACCAATCAACACTGGGGATTAAATGACTAAAATAATTTCATGAGGAAAGAAGAATGATTAGCTATGATCACTAAGAAATTTATGATAAGAGAAATATGTCAGACTTGAAAGCAAGATGCCTAAATCCTGTCCAGAGATGTTTTTAAGTGTCGGTAAAACGTATAGTACTAATAACAAATTTGAAGAGAACAGAAGTGTTAGCATTAGAAAATAAGTTAAATTTAGACATCATATAGGCATAGGGAGTTGACAATCATTATGAAATAGACATAGAAAATGGCCACCCTTTGATAATAGCTTAATAGCTAAAGTATGGAAGAATTGTAGAGATGTAAGAGAGTTATTAGGGAATCAAGAATATATGGACAAACAGCACCATTAAAAAGTGAGCAACAGACATAAATAGACACTTCTCAAAAGTAGATATATAGGTAGCCATCGGACACATGAAAAAGTGTTCAGCCACACTAATCATCAGAGAAATGCAAATCAAAATCACATTGAGATACCATCGAACTCCAGTAAGAATGGTCATCATTAATAAAACAAGCAACAACAGATGCTGACAAGGATGTGGGGGAAAAGGAATACTTCTACACTGCTGGTGGGAATACAAACTGGTGCAACTTCTTTGGAAATCAGTGTGGCAATTTCTGAAAGAACTAGAATTTGACCTTCTATATGACCCAGCAATCCCCCTACTGGAAATATACCTGGAGGAACTCAAATCATTCTACAAAAAAGATACCTGCACACACATGTTTATTGTAGCAC